TGTCTATGTAAATGTATGTACACAGGGTTGTATGTGTGTGTTGATGTGTGTGTGTGCTCATGTAAACACGGGCCTGTATAAGGAGCCCTGGGTACTGTCGGGTAAATGCTGGTGTGCTGACCACAAGGTCCAAAGTTCAAATCCAGCAGCCACTCTGTGGGAGAAAACAAACAGGCTTTCTGCTTCTGTAAAGATTTAGCGCCTTGGAAACTCTATGAGGCCACTGATTAGAACTGACTCCAGTGGTGGGTTTGATTAATTTGGGGCATGCCCATGTATAAGGGGCATGCATATGTGTATATATATGAGGGGGTGCCCCTCCAAACGGGAAAAAGCTTCGCTGGGTGAGCTTTTGTAGTATGCATCTTTCCTGCCAGGTGAACATCAGGCAACTCGCTCTGAGTTAGTGCACTCAGTGGCATCACCTGGGAAGGTTCTCTCTGGTCACAGTGAATTCTTTCACAAAAGCAGTTTCGCTCAAACCTCGTATTTCGTGATGGCCACTTTAAGAGAACCGGTGTGACTGTGGAATTTTGTTTCCTGCTCGGGAAAAATGCCGCAGAAACCGTTGTGATGTTGCACACAGCTTATGAGGACAGCGCCTTGGGAAACACTCAAGTCTACGAGTGGTTTTCTTATTTCAAAAAAGGTGCTATATCGACTGGTGACAAACCTCATTCTGTCCCGGATGGACAGAAATGTCCACTGGTAGTGCACTTGGAGTTCGTTCCACCAGGTCAGGGTGTTAAACAAGCTTTCTATTTAGAGGTTCTGAAAATATTCCATAACAGTGTATGACAAAAAAAGGCCTGATTTGTGGCACAGGGGGATTCATTTTGCCACCATGACAATGCACCTGCTCACACTGCCCTCTCATTGCACCAATTTTTGGCAAAAAAATAGCATGCCTCTCTTGCCACATGCACCTGACTCACCTGACCTCACTCCATGCAACTTATTTTTGTTTCTGCAAATGAAGAGGGACATGAAATGACAGTGATTTGACAATGTAGAAGAAGAAAAAAAACGAGGGAGGTGCTGTCAGCCATCCAAACAGATGAGTTTGAAAAATGTTTCCAAGAATAGAATCGCAGATGTGACAAATGTATTCAGTGTAATGGAGAGGACTTTGGAGGTGATAAGGTTGTTTTGTAAAACAAAATTAAATACATAGCTTTGAAAAAAATTCCGTTTTGGGGGATACCCCCTTGTAGGTATAAGGGTGCACATGTATATATGTGTGTGTAGATTTGTAGGTATGTGTCTGTAAGTACGGGCTTGTGTACATGCATGTATGTGCATATGTGTTTATGTGCACACGCATGTGTGTAACAGTATCAAGACTCCTTGGGACACAGCAGATGAGGCTCTGCTCCTATAAACGTCTGTAAGTCTCGGAAAGCCCACAGGGGCAGTTCTGCTCTGTCCACACGAGGTCTGAACCGACCCGATGGCAGTGGAGTTTGGTGACACAGCAGTGGGGAGGGGGGACCCACCAGCTGCAGAGGGTGGATGGCTTGTACGTACCAGGCACCATGCAGGAGAAAGGTGACAGTCTTCCTCCACGACGAGGTCCTTCCACTCTGCCCTGGGGTTTCTGTGAGTCAGAATGGGCTCAAAGCCGGTGGGCTTGCCTGGCCTCGAGCATCTGTAGATGTGTCCCCATGGGGATGTGTGTGCACATATGTGCGCATACCTGTGTCTGCATGGGCACTGTGAACACATGTGCAGCAGTGACTCTCTGGGCGTATGAGTGAGCACGGAGCAAGTGGAGCCCTTTCAGCCCAAGGCTCAGAGTTTGCAGAGAGCCCTGGCTGCCCGTGGGTGGACGCAGCACCGGCCAGGGGCCTCTTCCTCTCTCCCCGTCTCTCTCTCCCCCTGCATCTGTGCTGAGGTGCCCGGCCTTGCACAACCTCCAGTGACTGTGGGAGGGGCCTAGTTGCTGTGTGGCCTCGGACTGCAGGCGGCCCGTAGCAGACCAGCCTCGCCAAGACCCCTCTGCTTGGCCTCATCTCTGTCCCTGGAGGCAAGCCTGTGTCTCTCTTTTCCCCGCAGGGTCCTCCTGGGCCTACAGGCCCCCAAGGCCCCATCGGACAGCCTGGCCTCTCTGTAAGTGCCCCTGTCAGTGACCCTCAAAGACCCTCCCCACTAGCTGACCCCCAAGATCCTCGTCCTCAACCTCCACTGGCTGCTTTCTCTGCAGGGCGCGGATGGCGAGCCGGGGCCTCGCGGTCAGCAGGGACTTTTCGGGCAGAAAGGTGACGAGGGCCCACGAGGTTTCCCAGGGCCCCCGGGGCCTGTGGGGCTGCAGGTAAGGCCCGGCTTTCAGAGTGGCCGACTGCATACACTCTGTATCCCTCTGTGCCCCACCCCCTCCTGCCTGTCCCTCAAAGGCAGTACCCATGCTTGCTGCGAGTGGATGTCCCGTCCAGAGGCCCAGGGTCGCCACCTGGGCTTGGCAGAAAGACATATCTGCGTGTTGGGTAGGTCACCAGGACAGGACGGGGCTGATCCTGACCCTGACCCTTCTTCCTCTTCCCGCCCAGGGTTTGCCAGGACCTCCTGGGGAGAAGGGCGAGACTGGAGACGTGGGCCAGATGGTAAGTGCGGCCCAGCCGCCGGAGCCCCCGTGGTAGTTGACTTCTGTTTGGACACAGGGTTTGCTCAATGGTCTCTCCTTTCCCTAGGGTCCCCCTGGGCCCCCCGGCCCCCGAGGGCCTTCCGGGTCTCCTGGTGCTGATGGGCCACAAGGTCCTCCGGGTGGAATTGGCAACCCCGGCGCAGTAGGGGAGAAGGTGAGGCGCCGTCATCACGGGCCAGGGTGTCAGCTCCAGGCCTGCATGCGTCTGCACGGACATTCCTGCACGTGTGGTGCGCCACCTCCCTGCCAGGCCTGGTCATAGGACTCCTGTATCTGTCTACATCTGGCCCCTTGCAGCCCCTGGGTGCCCCCGCCACACCCCACCCCACTCACTTCCATGGCAAGAAAAGCAAAGAGAAGCCACCCTGCTGAGCTCACATCTCAGAGACGCTTGTGGTTGAGCTCTGGGCTGTTCATGGTCCATTGGTGGTTCAAGCCCACCAGTCGCTCCAACAGAGAAAGACGAGGCCATCAGCTCCCCTAGAATGTGACAGCCGGGGAGACCCTCTGGGCAGTTCTCCCCTGTCCTGCAGGGTCGCCCTGGGTCAGCGGGGGCTGTGCTGAGAGTGGGCTGGTGTGTGGGCTATTCTGCTGCAAATGTCCCCCCCAGTGCCTGCCTCTCACGCTACTCTGCCCTGCCCTCCGTTTCTCTGATGATACTGGGGGAGGGGGCTCTCTGCTCTGCATGGGGCCCTCCCTGTCTGCAAGACTGTCCCCCACCTCCACCGCCCTGTAATGACCCTTAAAGTCCTCCCTTCAGGGGACGTCTCTGCTGGCCTCGCTGGGTGACCTGGTGCCTGCAGATGGAAACCTGCCTGCCCCACTTCCCGCACAGGCTCCTCAGAGGAGATCCCACCCGTGACAGCGCGGGGGCCATCTGAGGACATTGGCCGCCGTCTCACTGACCCCAGGGTGCCCACCACACCCGTGTTTCCCCGTGTGCTTTCTCCACAGGGTGAGCCGGGCGAGGCCGGAGAACCTGGCCTTCCGGGAGAAGGGGGCCCTCTGGTGAGTGGGCTGTGGGGCGGGGCCGGTCAGGGGCGGAGTCAGGCCTCAGGTCCCCATGACAGCAGCTGAGCTCCTGGACCAGCCCCATGGGGGGTGGGGGGATTGGAGCAGAGTCAGACCCTCTCCAGGTCACGGTCAAGGGGGGGTGAATGAGCTGCCTGCCATGGGCAGCCCTGGCTATGGTGAGTGCTGCCCAGATGAAGTGGCATAAGCCAGGTGATGGATGCCTATCTCTCCTTCCAGGGACCCAAAGGCGAGAGGGGGGAGAAGGGGGAGTCGGGACCCTCTGGTGCTGCTGGCCCCCCTGGACCCAAAGGCCCTCCTGGAGATGACGGCCCCAAGGGCAGCCCGGTGAGTAACCCCCATCCCTGACCCTGGAGCCTGCACCCCATGCCTCAGGCCAGACTGGCAAGGTAGGGTGCACTGCTGCTCATAGAGACACCCCATGCCCTGGACGTGCTGTTTCCAAAAGTCTGGAAGTTTCCACACCATCTACTGAGCCCAAGCACTCAGACAAGAAGGCCCAAGGGGCCCGAGGCGGTGGGGAGGAGAGGCCTGCGGGACTGTCCCTGCAGGAGGGTGGTCTCTGAGGCCGAGGCTGAGTTGTGCCACATGGATGGCGAGCGCCACGCACTCCCTCCCGGGCCTGGCTGGGCATCGGGAGGGTCCGGCCTCAGCCTGGAGCTTCAAGGGGGAACTGGGCAGGTCTCTAGAAGGCAGGCATGGTCCTCTCCCCACCAGCTGGCCAGGTCTGGACCCAGCAGTGCGTGGCAGGCAAGTGCTGGAATGTTCTAGAATAGCGGTTCTCAACCTGTGGGTCTCTACCCCTTTGGGGGTTGACCGACCCTTTCACAGGGGTCACCCGATTCCTAACAGCAGCAAAATGACAGTGATGAAGTAGCAATGAAAATAATGTTATGGTTGGGGGTCCCGACAACATGAGTAACTGTATGAAAGGGTCGCGGCATGAGGAAGGTTGAGAACCCCTGGTCTGGAGGCTGGATGGAGACGGGGGGGCGTCTTGGTGCAGCGCAGGCCTGGCTGTGGGTGGCCCAGCCCAGCTGCTCACCACCCTCTCTGCTTCTTTCCCCTGCCCAGGGCCCCGTAGGCTTCCCTGGAGACCCTGGCCCCCCTGGAGAGCCAGGCCCTGCGGTAGGTACACAAGGCGAGGTTGTGTGCGTCTGTGTTGGGGGGTGGGGGTGGTGCTTGGGGAAGGACAGGGTGGTGGCTCAGGGTAAGGGGGCTTGGGAAGGGACCAAGGTGGTGCTCAGGGTGGGGTGGGGCTTGGGAATGGACCTGGTGTGGCAGTGTGGATGAGTTGTGCCCTTCTGGCTGGCAGGCAATAACTTGGTCTTGTCCTCACAGGGCCAGGACGGGCCCCCTGGAGACAAAGGCGACGATGGAGAGCCAGGACAAACGGTGGGTGGGTGGTTCATCGGGAGGGATGGCGGGGGAGGGGAGGCAGCCTGGGCGCCGGCTCAGACTCCTGATGGAGGATCAGCGGGCCCAGAGGGCCCCAACTCTGCTCCTGAGAGACGCACATCCCTTGGCCTGACCCTGCAGATGCTCAGTAACCTCAGAGGGTCTGCTGGGGGGTGGAGGTAGGGGGAAGCACCACAATTTTACAGGAATCATGCATGAGTTAAGCAAGCCTTGCAGACCCTTCTTGCAGGTTAGCTTCCCACGTGCTGCAGGCGGGTCCTGTGCGTGTGCCCCACAGCGGGCTGGTGCATTCTATGCAAAACACGGGGTTTCCACTGCCTGCTCCATGGTTCGCGCAGGAGGATTCACCCGGTTCCTGCTCACAGAGCCCCGGGTGCCCTCCCCTCAGCTCTTCCAGTTCTCCTCCACACTGGACACTGTGTCTCGCACATGACCCTGGATTTGCAAACCCTGTTTCAAGCTGAGTTCTGGACAGACCTGAGTACTCACACCCCCCACCCCCAACCCCAACCCCCAGCAAATATGGCAAAGCACTGTGGGAAATGCAGTGGCAGGGACAAGGCCCAGACCCTGAGCTCAGACGAGCCGTGATACCAGGAAAGAGTTATGGGAATGAGCTCAGGGTTCATCTTCCCTTTCACCTGTCCCTGGGCCTCCAGGTCCCCTCCCAGCGGCGACGGTGTGGTGGTCAGTAAACAGCAGTTAGGGACCAGCATGAATGCTGTGGGGAGGGAGAGCAGGGGGCAGGCAGGTGTGCAGGGAGGCTATGGGCAGGAGCTGGAGCAGATTCCTGGGTAGACTGCCACATGTGACCTCTGGAAAGAGCGAGGCCACTCCAGGCGGACAAGGAGAGCTACAGTGGACACGCCATGTGCAGTGACCCCAGACTGCCTGTCCACCCAGCCTCACAGTGCAGGCTCCTAACACCCCTGCTTGTTCTTCCATGCAGGGGTCCCCGGGCCCAACTGGTGAGCCGGGCCCATCTGGGCCGCCAGGAAAAAGGGTAACTATCTCTGTGAGCCTGTCTTCCCTGGGGATCCGTGCTTGCCCACCACGTGGGTGGACCCCAAGTGCTCTCAGCAGCACTAGGGTGACACCCTGCTCTCGCCCCATCATGGGCATCCCAGGGCTGACCCCACAAGCTGCCCCAATCCAGGGGGGACCCTCCCAGGCCTTTCTGAAAAGTCAAGCTGCACACTGGCCCCTCCGTGCTCTGGCCAGCCTCGCTCGGCCTGGCTTGGGGGCTGGGCGCAGGGGTGGAAAGGCCGGCCCACCAGCCTGCTGGTCGCCTTCACCCTCATCGCCCACACCTGCTCCTCAGTCTCAGGGCTGGTCAGGCTGCGTCTGCCAGCCAGGCCAGTCATGTGGGCACTCTCATTTGTTCCAGGGCCCCCCTGGACCTGCAGGCCCTGAAGGCAGACAGGGAGAGAAAGGAGCCAAGGTAATGAGCTGGGGATGGGACCCCGGGGGGATGTGGGGGTTCTGGACGGAGCAGAGCCACAGGGCCTGGTCTCAGCCCGACATCACTGTGTGTCCACTCCAAGCCTAAGGGAGCCTCCTTGGTGGCTGTGACCGTCCTGTCCTCTGTGACAGTCATGCCCATGGTGACTACCATGTCCACTGTGACTACCATGTCCACTGTGCAGGGCATGTCCACTGTGGCTACCTGGTCCACTGACCACTACATCCACTGAGACCATCATGTCCTCTTCAGTGGCTGTGACTGCCATGTCCACTGTGACCACCATGTCCACTGTGAGGGTCATGTCCACTGTGACCACCATGTCCACTATGGCCATCACTGGGGTGTTCTGAGCACCCTGGGGTGACTGGGGTGACCGTGGAGGAGGAGCGTCCCGCTGGCTGAGGGACTGAGCGGAAGCTAATTGTGTCTCGGAGCTGCCTCGAGGAGTGTGGAGAATTGGGGGCTGCCCCGGATACTGGGGTGTCGGGTTCCTTCAGAGACTGATGTTTGGGGGCACTGGTCCTGTGTGACCCGCTGCCTGAGCCCGGGGGTGCTATGCCCATCCACTTCATGCCAGGGAGAAGCCGGCTTGGAAGGTCCTCCTGGGAAGACTGGCCCCATCGGCCCCCAGGGGGCTCCGGGAAAGCCTGGCCCCGACGGACTGCGGGGGATCCCTGGGCCTGTGGTGAGTGGGGAGGGTCATGGGTGGGACAGGAGCAGAGGGGCCGAGGAGGGTGGGTTTCCCGACTCACTCGGCAGGACGGCTGTGTTTCAGGGTGAACAAGGTCTCCCCGGATCCCCAGGCCCAGACGGGCCCCCCGGCCCCATGGTGAGTGAGGCTTCCCTAGGCAGTGGGAGAGGGCGGCTTGCCACCTGAGACCCCTGGTGAGGATTGTGACCCCTCTGCATTTTCCTGCAGGGCCCCCCCGGCCTCCCCGGCCTCAAAGGAGACTCGGGCCCCAAAGGGGAAAAGGTAAGATGAGACGGCTGGTTTCCCGCAGCCTCATCAGGCCCTCCAGCAGCCTGGGGGTCCGGCTCAGCATAGCCCCAAGTTTGTCTCAGACTCTCGCAGCCTGGGGTGGGGTGGGGGACCCGGGAGACAACAAAAAAAGGGGAAATGGGTAGTAGGAACATGGACTCTGAGGATGCTCTGGGGCCCCTGAGCCGGGGCAGCTGCATGATGCCCAAGTGGAAGGGGCCAAGAGCATTTCTCATCCCCCGGGCGCAGGGCTCTGGCGAAGGCCCCCAGTGTCCCCTCTTGCCTCTCCTCCTGCAGGGTCATCCCGGCTTGATCGGACTCATCGGGCCTCCCGGTGAGCAGGGAGAGAAGGGTGACCGTGGCCTCCCAGGCCCGCAGGGCACTTCTGGCCCCAAGGGAGAACAGGTATGGGAGACAGATTCTGGCCGGGCCTAGAGCGTGGATGCCTTAGCACATTAGGGGCTGTAGGGTTGGGGTGAGCACTGCTCAGGGGCTCCCTGCCCAAGACACCAGCACCACGGGCAGAGCAGGAGCCAGAAGAGCCTCCCTGGGGGTCGGCAGGTGGGCGGGTTCTGGTCAGCTCAGCAGTTCAAGTGACCGAAGTGGAAGCAACATCCATCTCCAAGCCGTCTCCATGGGGCTGAGGACACCACACGGTTCCCCAACAGGCGGGAGTGGCCCTGCCAGGACAGGTCACCCAATCAGTGCAGTAGCCCCTGGCATACATGAGTGTGCTATGCACTTATGTGAGCAAGCTGTTGGTGCAAGCAGTTGGTGTGAGTGGGACATGACTATGATCCTTCATCCAAGTGACAATGAGCCCCTGCTTTCTGTTCCATCTAGGGTATCACTGGGCCTTCTGGT